TTCCAGAAAAGAACTAATTTCCTGCTTAATCTGACACGGATGGCTTGTAAATTTCATTGTGTTTCCACCTCTCCCTCCTTTAAACAGCTGCGTTCATGAAGACCAGCTCCAAGCCGTCGTTCGGAGAGTCCCCGAGCGAGGTGTCGTGAGAGGAGAGCCGAATTAGTTTACGCTGGCGAAAAATTCAGAAATCTGGTAGCATTTTTTCTGACTGACACGTTGGATTAAAAGGCATACGCTTTTGTGAGAGGCAGCTCCCTTCCTCAGATGCATAGAACATAACCAACCTGTTTTCTCTTCCTTTTCTCCCCCCACCTCCTCCTAATTTAAATCCTACATTGGTCTGGCCACCCTGAGTATCTGATGAAGGTTCACAAAAGCTTAAGCCTTTTCATAAAACCAGTCAGGAAAGATGCTCCTGATTTTTTCAGAGAGAGGCTTGTATCTTAGAAGAGAGAGCGGGAAATACACGTTCCTGGCTGTCCAACAGCCAATCCATATCCTAAAAAATTGTATTTAAGTCAGTGAAGGCAACCCCTTTCGATAGCTTTTGATAGTCAGAATACCGCTATTCAGGCACGGCGCGATGTTGAGTTAGCAAGGGTGGGCTTAGGATGCGGATCACTAAGGAAAAGGATCTCTAAGGAACAGGATGCGGACTTCTAGGGATCTCTAAGGAAAAGGCTGTTAGTGAGAACGCTAGACTTGTTGCTGTCATAGACAAGGGTTTGGAAATGATTCAGAAGCATTCTGGTCTTGCGCAAACCCAGCCTATGCCAGCCTGAGAAACGTAAGCTGCTTTAATAGCAGAGTAGCACATTTTCTTCACTTTCAACATTTGCCCGGCTCTATTGTAGACCCACAGTTGCAGCCTCACACCCGACAGCCCGTCAGCAATTGAAGCTGGAAGAAATAATGGTCAGCGTGGCCAACTGGCTGCCGTTGTGATGGGTGGGACTCTCAATCTGCACACGCAGTCTTAGAACTCTAGCACTAACATCCTTCAAAGTGTGCCCGTTTCTAATACTTCTTCTAAAGGAAGACTGTACATGGATATGTAGATCTGGCACCACGTTTCTTCCACTCTGCTATCATCTCTCCATTGACAGACAGATCTTGATGAGTTTCGAATGGCTCCAAAAAACTTTGGCAGGTGAAAACCAGGCGAGAAGATACACCTTCTCCAACTTGGCATCTTCCAGCTGTGTTGGATGCCACCTGTCATAATTTTCAGCAATGTTGATCCAGGATTGTGGTCACTGAAGTCAATTCAGGGTGCCAGATTTATATACTTCGTAGCCAACCTATTTAACTGCTTTAATCTCTTGCTCAAAGATCTCCCTCTGTATTGGTATGCGAGAATGACCTTGGGAGACAGGAGGAAGAGACGCAAGCTAGGCAACAGACAGATAAGAGGCGGCTGAGCCCGCAGCAGGAATGGGGGCATGGCATGGGGTCCCTTCTGAGACGTTTGCCAAGGCCCCATTCCTTCTGCAGACTCGGCTGCCTCTTATCTGATGGTTATCTAGTCTGCGGGTTTTCTCGCTGTCTCCCAAGGTCATTTCCACAGACCATTACACCTTCTTGCGTAAAAATAGTAGCAGCCTAAAATGGAAGAGTTAGTATTTGTGGTGTAAATAAAAATCTGCCATGTCCTTCAGTACATTTTAGGCTCCTAGTGGGGGTGTTCCTGGGATGTTCATTGTGACTGAGAGATTTCTTAAGAGTTCAGTTTCCTCTTCTTCCCCTTTTTCGGCTTCCTGCAACCTTCAGGGAGGTGGCCCAGAAGATTTCAGCAATCTTCCCCCAGAGCAAAGAAGAAAGAAACTCCAACAAAAGGTGGATGAACTCAACAAGGATATTCAGAAAGAGTTGGATCAAAGGTAGGACTAGCCAACATACAAACGCAGAATGCTTTGTCCTAACTGTGTTTTTGCAGAATAAATGCAAAAAGCCGGTTCCCAAACTGACAAAGGTTTTAGAGACCATTCTATAAACAGTCAGCAGGAAAGTTTCCCATTGTGGGCGGAGAGATCTGCCTGTTTGCTAGTTCATAAGAAAACTGTTATTTTACTTCTAAACAGTCTCCACCCTAAGCTCATGGAGATATCAGTTGGCTCTAAACTGAACTAGTTCAGCTGCTGAATTCCTGCAGTGCCATCCCGTTTCATCACAATAAATCTTGTTAAAGAAAACTCTGTGAGAATCAGGTTTGGGAAGAATCACTTGTGATTCCAGGCAGTTGCCAAAATCAGCTTTCATCAAAAAAGTCCTTCTCAGCCAGATAGCCACAGGAAGTGTTGGACTGCAACTCTCACCATCCTCTAGTTAGGATGGCTGGCAGGAGAGAATGGGATTTGTAGTCAAACTCTTCCGAATGCAGCACATTGGAGAAGGTGGCATTCCGCTTGGATGAATACAGCTGGATTGCTTAATCTTTCTCTGTGGGTGCTCCCAGAAATGAATTATATTCTGCCATTTTTCTGTCTCATTTACTTTTCCTCAAGGGGGGGGGCGGGGAGTGTTAAGAAAGATGACTGTAAGTCTTTCCCCACTGTTTCCCTCTTTTTCTTAGCAGGAAAAAAAAAAAAGTTAATCCAAGAGTTGCACAGTGTTGGCGGTCTGGAAAGACATGTGGATTCGAAAGCCCGCTGATAAAACATACATTGCTCAAAATATATATTGCCATTTGATCCTGGGTGGGAAGTTGAGTTCTTTAGAGAAAGGGCAAAATGAAAGCAGATAGGAAAGGAAGAATGCACCAACAACATACCGTGTACATCTTTCACCCCACTCTGTGCCTGTGCATGTGTGCGCACATGATGGTTCTCTTAATACTTTTCAGCCAGCTGGCCAGACCTTGCCTGCCCACTCCCAAGTCCTGAAAAGATGCTGGTGGTGGTTTAAGTTCCTGGCAGATGATGGTTGTTCCCTCTTCCTTTACAGAGAGGCCTTAACGAAAATGAAGGATGTCTACATCAAGAACCCCCAAATGGGGGACGCAGCTAGTGTGGACATTAAGTTAGCTGAACTCGGACACAACCTGGAGAAGCTGCGGCTGGAAGTACAAAAATTTGAGGTAGGGGGTTAACTAAACATCAGTTAGAGCAGTGTTTCTCAACCTCAGCAACTTTAAGACATGTAGACTTCAATTCCCAGAATTCCCCAGCTAGCATGCTTTAGGATGTATGGCTGGGGAATTCTGGGAACTGGAGTCCACACATCTGAAAGTTGCTGAGGTTGAGAAATACTGAGTTAGAGCAGCCTTCCTGGATTCCAAAATTCCCAGTCCATACAGTCTGCTGGGGACTCTGGGAACTGTAGTCCCAACACATCGAGGTGAGCATCATATTGGGGAACTGCTTTACCTGTTGGGCTTCAACTGTTGGACTCCACAGACCTTTGGAGGCCGCCTGGTTGTTGAACCCTGTGATCAACTAGCAACATGACCACAAAGCAGCAAATAAAAACACTGGAAAGTAAAACCACGAGAAACCATAGTTAAACTGAAAATGCAGGACCAGCCAAGACAGTTAAGTGGCCCTCGAAGCCCTCGAAAGGAAAATGGGATGGTTTGGTCGGGCGCCTAAAGTGGGGAGGCGATTCCAGAGATTTGTGCAAAGTCCCTCTTATGGGAACCCACTTTTGAAGATGGGGGATTACCCAGGGAGGAAGACAGGGAGACTCTTCTTGCAAGATTTCTCCCCTCCTTTCCTTTTACTCCCTGGAAAACTAGGGAGGGTCCCTTCTGAGACGCTTCCCTCACCCCTTTTCCTTCTGTGGGCTGAGACACCTTTTCCATGCTGGTTGTCCAGTCTGTGGCTCTTCCTCCTGTCTCCCAAGGTCATTCCCAGGGACCATGACAGAGCCCTTCTCCCTCCCTCTCCTTTTACTCTCTGGAAAACTAGGGAGGGTCCCTTCTGAGACGCTTCCCACACCCCTTTTCCTTCTGGGGGCTGAGACACCCTTTCCATGCCAGTTGTCCAGTCTGCGGCTCTTCCTCCTGTCTCCCACGGTCATTCCCACAGACCATTACAGTCCCTCATTTTCCATCCTCCTCTGCTCCAGAGTTGGTTAGCAGAGGTGGAAGGTCGGTTACCTGTACGGACAGAGGTGATGCGCCGCCAGAGTGGAGCGTACGAGCCGCAGAACAACACCTTGACCGTCAACAACTGCGTCCAGGACCGAGAGAGGTACAGTACCTGTATTGTGCTGGGGAATATCTGGATTGCAAAGGTCTGGCACCGTCCCATCTTAGTGCCAACCTTGCAAAATTGCAGTGCCAAAGCCAGTGCAACCACCACCTTGCTTTGATCCATATCGATTCTTGAGATTTCCAGTGCTCTCTCCTCCAGTTCTACCCCTCCAGTAACAACGACCCTGAGAGGTCGGCTGAGCTGAGAGGGACTGGCCCAGAATCTCCTAGAGAGCTCCCATTGCTGAGAGTGGATTTGAACCTGGCTCCCCCTTCTTGTTTAAATTCCCCCAAGATCTCTGAATCTCACGCAGGCGGATCTCACTAAAGGGGTTGGGTTGTGGTTGGTCCGAGGAAGCCACGTGACACAGGTGGCAGGAGCTGAAATAGAGTTTCTCTGCTTGCATGGGGCACGTCCCCTGAACCCAGCTGCATTTTGGATTTTGTTGCCCAGAGGGCAAACGGGCACCAGACCCCCCGCGAGAAAGCAGAGGACAAATGTGGCAAGCACAGAAGTGACGCTGCAGCAGAGACCGGGGTGGAGAGGCGGCAGGGAGCAGCGTCTCCCCCCTTCCCACCCCCTTTTCTCCCCAGCCCACCGGACAGGTTGCTATAGTGGTTGCGTTTTTTCTCCTTTTTCCTGTCTTGAGCAGTCCCGATGGCGGTTACACAGAGGAGCCAAGCCAGGAGAGTGAGATGAAAACGCCGACGACCGAATTTGACGACGAATTTGACGATGAAGAACCCTTGCCCACCATCGGCACATGCAAGGCTCTGTACACCTTCGAGGGTAAGGGCCAAATTCTCCCAGCAGGACCGAGCCGCTTCTGGCCAGGGATTCTCCCACGTGCCGGACCTCGGGCGGAGACGGGGGTTCAACCTCCTAAATCTGGATATCTTTATGTCTTTACTTTATTTATTTAAGCAATTTATACGGCCGCCCAACTCACTCACGGTGACTCCAGGCGGCTTACGGAAATAAAAATCCCAAATACAAAACCCACTGTACCCCCCACCCCCCTCGTGGCAACCACACATTCACACTAGCCATTTGATGGGCTCCGTATTGACCTGGGATCCCCAAACCTGCCGGCAAAGCCATGTCTTCAGGGCCTTGCAGAAGAGTATCAAGGTGGGGGCCAGTCTTATCTCTGTGGGGATGACGTTCCACAGGGAGGGAGCCACCACAGAGAAGGCCCTTCTTCTCAGTCCTACTAGATGGACCTCCTTAATAGTGGGGACCCGTAACATACCCTGCTACCCGATCTGGTGGGTCGGGCAGATGAAACTGGGAAAAGGCGGTCCTTCAAATATCCTGGCCCCAAGTCATGTCTTCCTCTTGGTCATGGCGGTGGGAGGACCAGGGAAAGGTTATAGGCCTCGTACCTCTGGTGCTTCTGGATGGAGCACTCTTGGTGTGAGAAGGAAAAGTCGAGCTGGGTTTCCCCATTCCACGACACCTTAAAGTAGCTTGGTTGGTGTTAGCTTAGGATGGGGTAAGGATCTGACCTTGTTGGTGCAGCAGATCATGATTTATGGCAAGTGCTGTAATCTTCTGCTTCCTTAGGGGCAGGGGCTAGCCCTGGGGCAGAGGATGTGAGCTGAATTTAGGAATGTTTTTTGGAAAGGTTGGCGTGCTAAGTCTACTGGAAGTGATGGAGCAAGTGCGATGCTTCTTGAAGGATTTTTGATGGCCAGAAATCCAGAGCGTCTTTTGAGATCCTTTCCTTTGGTGGTTCTCTGACCTTTCTGCCCACGATGGCCAAGAATTGGAGGCATCCCCAGTTGCTGCTTTGCCCTTCTGAGACCTGAAACACGTCAAAACTGGACACCATCAAACAGGACTGGCCTCGTTTAGGAAACTCAGATCCCAGGAAAGCAGGCCATGATTCCAGCCACGGAAGTCCTAAAAGAGGAAATGCAGTGTCCACCTCTGACATTAAGGCTTGTCAGTGCAGAGATCCGTCTTGGAAACGGGGCGCTAATCCACCCCGTCTTCTCCCTTCCAGGGCAGAATGAAGGAACCATTTCCGTGACGGAAGGAGAAACCCTCTACGTCATAGAGGAAGACAAAGGCGACGGATGGACACGGATCCGGAGGAACGAGGATGAGGAAGGCTACGTCCCCACCTCCTACGTTGAAGTCTTTCTGGAGAAGAATGCCAAAGGTAACGTGGCTTACATTTTCTCTATGTTTATTCATTTGTTTTGCCATGGAAGTAAAGGCCCAATACCCTCCCTTTGCCAAGCGTCCAAAAAAAAATAAAATTCAGAACTGTAGTTGTGGGAAGTGCTGGGGGACCAGAATCTGGTTGGTTCAGCTTAGCCTCTGGCATAAAACCAACGATTCTGGCTTGCAAACCATGGTTTATGGGTTACTGCCATGGGTGAACTCCGCCAATGAGCTGCAGTTAAGCAAAGACTTAGCAAGATGGCTGAACTGAGTCTTTTCCCAATGGTGCTCTCTAGAGCAGCGTTTATCTCAGGAAAATGGAGGTGTGGACTTCAACTCCCAGAATCCCCCAGCCAGCATGC